GTCACTCCAGCAGGGGAATCAGAAACTGCCAATTCTCAAAAGATGCTCAGCATCACTACTCATCAGAGAAATGCAAATCAAAACCACAATGAGATATCACCTCACACCCATTAGGATGGCTACTACCAAAAAAAAACAGAAAATAACAAATGGTAGAGAGATGTGAAGAAATTGGAACTCTTTGCAGTGTTGGTGGGATTGTAAAATGGTGCAATAGAAAACAGTATGGCAGTTCCTCAAAAAATTAAAAATAGAACTACCATAGTAGTTCTACCAAAATAGAACTACCACCAGCAACCCCACTTCTGGGTATATAGCCAAAAGAACTGAAAGCAGGGTCTCAAAGAGATATTTTTACACCCATGTACATAGCAGCATTATTCGCAGTAGCCAAGAGATGGAAACAACCCAAATGTCCATTGATGGATAAATGGATAAATAAAATGTGGTATATCTATACAATGGAATATCCTTCAGCCATAAAAAGGAAGGAAATCCTTTCACATGCTACAACATGAATGAACCTTGAGGACGTTATGCCAAGTGAAATATGCCAGTCACAAAAAGACAAATACTGTATGATTCCACTTATAGGAGCTATCTAAAGTCATCAAATTCATAGAAACAGAAAGCAGAATGAGGTTACTAAGGGATGGGGGGAGAGAGAAAAGAAAAGTGTTGTTAGGTAGCTATCGAGTTTCAAATTTGCAAGCTGGAAAAGTTCTGGAAATCTGTTTCACAACAATGTGAATATACTTAACATTACTGAACTGTACATTTTAAAAGGTTAAGATTGTAAATCTTATTTTATGTATTTTTTACCACAATAACAAATAAACTGCCTATGTGCTTAAACCTGAGATTGAAGGGGAGGGGAACATAGATGCCACCTCTCAAGGAGAGGAATGGCAAAGAATCTGCAGCCATCTTTAACCTGCCACACCCACTGTGGGGCACATCGTGTCTAGAGCATCTGAGGACATAGATGGTGAGATCCTATTTCCAGAGGACTGTTTTCAACCTCCCAGAGATGAAGGGTGTCAGAAAGCCCAGTTAGAGGTGGATGTGGTTTGAAACAACAGAGTGGGAGAAAATGACAAAGCTTGTATAGCCAGTGAGAAAAAATGGCCTAGAATTCCTCCCTTCCTCATTTTCACAACAAAGATACAGCAAGCCATTCTGCTAAAAGCCTGACCACTCCCACCAAGCATTCTTCTCACTCAGACAGTGCCTGCCTCCAAGCCATCCTGACAGTGGGGGCTCCAGGCCCAAGTGAATGGGTCAGATAGCAACAATCAGCAGAAGCGGACAACAGGAGGCCTTTCAAAGTCGGCAAACACATAGAAAATTCAACGATGCAGCATTTAGACAGTCTGGACAACGTGGCCATTATAAATGCTGCTCTCCTGAGCAGTGATTCAAATGACAGCTTCGAAACCCTTTGGAAATAGAACATGGGCAACTCAGTGTCCATGACATGTTACAAGGACAAACCCGACTGAACAAAGATCCAAAGCAGCACTGAATGACTTATTTATTCAGTCCTGCCCTGTACAAACCTGGGAGAATATGACATCTTTTAAATTGCCTCCCCTGAACTATGCAACATCCATGGTGCATGGGAAACGTTAGCAAAGGTTTTGAAAAAAGCATAATGTTTTACAAAGCGAAGATCACAGTGTAACCACACTAATGCTTCCACCGAATTCTGCACACTGCCCTGGTGTCCCACGGAAATTAGACTGAAGGAGTGATGGCAACATCTAGAGAGGAAAACCCTGCCTTTTATCTTCTTCCATCTATTGGCTTCACAAATGTGTTTGAAGGGCTCTAGCCCTTTGCAAGCCTTCAGGTGGAAATTCTTCATTGTGCACGTGTAATTATAGTAGCATTCTAATTTTACTCCCCCGGCAAAGTGTTTTCCTGATACTGGGTGGGGAGTGTTTGTGTTCTGATCATCACTGGAACAAATATGGTGGTTATTTTTAGCCTAGCACAGTTTGCAGAATTCTCGAATGCCCCGGGGTTCCTGTTGCATGGTGGTGTCATGCGCTAGGAAGAAAAAATATACAGTGGTAGCAGTGTCTAAGTAACTCAGACTCAAGCACACATTCCTAGGCCTCATGATGAGCAGCCTGTGCTCACAGGCAGGACTAGGATGAGGCACAGGAGGCACCTAATGTGCAACATTTCCGGAGGCACTTTCCCTGCATTTGCACGACCCTGAGGGTGGGTGCCTCCTTATATCTTGTACCCTAGAAGCCTCCCTTGCCTGACTCTAGTCCAGGCCTGGCTCACTGGCTTCACTCTCTCATTTTCCCATTCATTCCATCCTCATTCCTTTACAGCTCCCTGCCCAACACTGATACTGTGAGTGGGGAGTGTCATCCCAATGTTGACAATAGTCAACAGTCAACAAAGAAGAGAGCTTTAAGAAGAAAGGGTTGAGTAATCAATGATGAGATTACAGTGAGGGATTGGGTCACTTGGAGGCTACAGGTAACCCAAGACCAGAGCAGATCCAAGAAGGGCTGGTGATGAACGACCTGTCCTGGTCGTCCCCTGGGCTGCAGGCCCAGATGGTGGGGTGTAAACAGGAACTCTTGTGAGACTGGCCACAGATGTTCCCTTCCTAGAAGAAGGCTCAGGATCTTCCCAGGAAGATGCCTACCCTGCAGGATTCCCTCCTCCTCCCCAGGCTTGGCTGTCAGTGCTCTGGTAGCTGACCTAAAGCCCTCCCAGCCCCATTTGCTCTCTTCCCAGCCCACTGTGATGTCCTAAAGCCAAATCAGGCAGCTTAGAGCTGGGGAAAGAGAAAGTGGGAGTCTCTGGTTCCTGGATGCCAACAAATGGTTCACGCTAAAGCAGGCTTTTCTGTCAGGAAGTCAGGGGTATATTTATTTGTGATCCTCAAGAAAACAGGGGCTACCCTCTTGCCTCCCTCTTCCCCTGTATCACACACCATACAGCCCCAGGGAACTTCCATGTGCTACCTTCTCTCCCACCAGCATAGCCACTTTGAACCCCCATTTCCCTGTTCTCCTTCATATGTTCACAACTCCCACCCCAGCGAGCACCTTTCAGGATCTCACTGGAAAACCCAGACTCTCAGCTTTGTGGATTTTAAATCGAAAGATATTCGGGGTGAAGAATGCCCGAGTAGTGGAATCATGGACCCACAAACCTGACTTTGGACTCCATCTAGCAAGAGTACCCCCGTGGCTCTCAGGGTTCAGAAGTAATGAGAGCACCCGGTAAAACCCATGTATTGCTGATGTTGCCTTTAATAATATCAGCAGAAAGCATTCCCTTCCACAGGGCTTCTGCCAGCACGATTCAATCTTGGAGAATCATTAGTGACTAATCATCATTATGATGTGATCATATTTCAATTATCCCCTGTGTAGTCTGGGTACATTAAAGTAACTGAGTTCTCTTGCTGAGAGAAGTTCATTAAAATCATAATGTGCATATGATTTTTTAAAGTTGTTGGAAAACAACAAGGGGATAAATCCTAGAAACCACAACAGAATCTTTCAGAGTTCCTCTAGCACTCATTCAGAAACCATAATCTTAGCTTGTGATGTGGAACAAGGACTATAACTGAATAACGGGCCAATTGTTTTATTATAATTTGTGTTTCTAAGTGCTCTGTGATGCAAAACCCAACAGGCTTCCTTTCAGCCCAAATCTGGCTATCTAGGTGCATTTACCCATCTTCACAATGTAAGTTACCCTAAGGCCTCGTTAACAGTGCCAAAGTCTATGAAAATCATCCAAAAAATGGAGTTGATCATACTATTTGTGGTCTGGTTGTTATCAATGCAGCCATAGTCCCTAATGTGTTGGAGAAAAGGAAAAGCAGCTATCCCCTGAGAATTTGTCCTAAAGAAAGAATTTAAAAGAACAAATAGAGCTTTATATTCATTATTGATAATAACAAAAAACCCAGAAACCTACCTACATATCTGACAATGGTGAAATAGTTGAGAATGGGATGTTGAGCATGGACTGGAAAGGAATAGGATGGAATGGAATATTATGCAGCCATTAGAAATTGAGGCTGACAGGGCCGGCCCCGTGGCTTGGCGGTTAAGTGCGCGCGCTCCGCTACTGGCGGCCCAGGTTCGGATCCTGGGCACACACCGACGCGCCGCTTCTCTGGCCATGCTGAGGCTGCGTCCCACATACAGCAACTGGAAGGATGTGCAGCTGTGACACACAA